CTATAAACATTGTATGTTTCTTGGGAAAAATAAATTGTTATCAAGTCTAAACTTCGTGGAAATATTGAAAAATTCTATCTGCCAGAAAAAGTTTTCTACAATTTATTCTAAGCCTCACAACATACAAAACAATTAAGTTTCTTCACATGATTCATTTTGATCTGATTACATTATTTATTTTTAGATTTGGTATTCAGGGATTCACATACATTATACAAATTATCTATATGTATTCACAAACGTATTAATAACAATTTCAAATTGTTCAATCAAGTACTTACCTTCAATTTTGAAAGATGCGTTTCTATTGCCATAGTTCTCAACTCTAGGAATGGCTTTCAACATGTAGAAATCGAGATGCAGCCATATCAAGTATAAAGAATTTTCAATTATGAAAGCACAGTAATTGATCTCTTTTTTCTTCTTGTCAAGCCTATCAGAGATTATTTCATAACCCTTTTCTCTCTTGACATGCAACTCGCTCGATTCTACAGTTGAATCAATGTAAGGCTTCAAGTCTGCAGAATTCATATCAGGTACTTCCTCCAGTTTTCTCATCAACAATTCATGCGTTACTTTTTCTTGATGGTAATGATTCACAGTGCTGATAAGTTGTTGAACTATAACACCCAAACTGGTTTCTTGATCATTGGTGTTTGCAAAGTTTTTTGAACTGAAATTACTCAGAAGAGGATCAATCAGAGTTGGATAAAATATTACTCCTACACCAGCATGTTCAATGCCGTGATTGGCCACTACATTTCTAGAATATGATAACAAATTCGACATGACTTGCATGGCCGATAGTAGTCGCTCTGAAGTTTGAAAACTACAAGAATCTATGGTAGTGTGACTGATTAACCTCTTGACCGTGTCTTCAGAGAGTATGAATTTAGGAAGAAGTGATAACATAAGCTTTTGGATTCGGTAAAGATGGGCTCTGTTATTTTGAACAATGTTGGGGTTCTCCAAAATATTTACCAAGTTGTTGTTTGCCGTCCTTGAAATGACGGAAGTTAGCAATGCTAATTCTCTCAGAGACATTGGAGATAAATCTGGGCTTCCTGATCGAAGGATCAGCTCAACTACGTCCAAGTGGCTCAACAAAAAGTACATTATCTGTGCTACAGCTGACTGATTTTCTGTTCCAAGTGTAGTGAGAACGGCGTTACATATATTTAAAGTTGGTAGCCAGATTTGTAGATACTGTTGTTCGATCGGAGGCAAAAAATCTTCCAAAATATTGTCCCTTTGCCAATCTTTCGATATTTCGGGGTGGTAGGAGAAAACAGACATGTTACTGAAAACACTGAAAAGTTTCTGCTCCAATATCAATTCACTACCGATCTTAGTGGCGGCTAATCTAGCCAACAACAGTATTTTGGCCATGTACAGGTATAACGCTTTTATCGACTCTGCTTGAGGTTCCAATATATTCCTCAACTCCGACTCAGTGTCTGCTATGCTCTGGATTACATGTTTCAAGTATCCTCTCCCGGAGAAGTGTATTATCCAGTTCGCATTACCAGACACAGCAATTATTTGACTGAAGCTCGACATTGCTAAAATTTTACAGACTTCTTGTCCTCCGATACAGTCTTGGCATATTATTTCAATTAATTTCTCACCAAAGTTTGACAAAATATCCGAAAAGTCAATCTTGAAATCATCACAAATGCTCAGCTTAGAGCTATCAAGACGGCTAATGAAGAGGCTATTGCTGAACATTACATCTTCATATGGCTTTTCTATATTAGCCATCTGCAAAAACGTGACTAGTGAGGCATACAAATTTATTCTCAACTCTCCATCGACAACATCTGACACCATAATGCACTGAACGAAGTTTTCCAGAATTTTTTTCAACGATGAATGATGCATTTCTAGAACGTTCAGAGTTTCATCCTTATCTACAGGTGATATTTTTTCCAGGCGTCTTTCTCGAAAATAACACTTTTTTAAATTGTCTGCCAAGAGCAATATAGCCCCAGACAACAGCCTAGAAACCTCTGGCAATAGTTGTGCTCGAACAACAATTGTCAAAAGCTGCTTGATCAAAGATATACTTATAATCTGCTGTTCGGTAGTAGACAAGATTTCCGTAGGAGTGAAAATAATTAAAACTTCAGCTACCTGCCTCCACGCATCAGTAAACTGGATGAGCGCCGAACAAGTTTCAGCTCTTCTATTTATTTCAAGAGCGTATCTTAACACTTTCTGAATTTCCTTAGTTATAGCTTGTATCTGACCCATTACTGCAGTTCCTTGAAGAGATTTCAGTTCGTCGTAGAGAATCTGATGCAATTTCTTCAAATCTATCAACTGTGGAACAGTTTTCTTCTGGCACGTTTGTAAAATCTTGTTCAATACGTCGGTGTCGAAGAATTCCCATGTTGGCATTTCAAGCTGAGATTCCGTCAGTTCGAAATGTGGAATTAAACTACTCAAAAAGTTTTCCAGTTTTATATCTTCTGGGATCATTAATTTGGCATCGAGAGCGCTCTTTTGCATCAAAGCGAATATGTCAGGGTTTTTACTTTCTTCCACTGGCATATTCAGTAAAAAATTTGTCAGCTGTTTCATGTAAGAGACTTGCTTAATTTGACTAGACACTTTCAACTCAATCGCAAGTACCTTCAATAACCATTTCACCTGGCCAAATTGTGATAATCCTTTATCAATATTTTTAGAAGCTTCCGTCAAATGATCTCTGTAAAACGATTTATTCATTCTGATGAATCTCAAAACGGGTTTTGATGTTTTAACATTAGACGCTAGTAAGTACAGCTGATGGTAAACCGACTCCAACAAAGAAGGGGATGGTACTGAAGAAGAAAGATTGATCACAGAATCCATGACAGATATTATAGAGTGGAGGCAAGAACGTGGGAATCCCATCACTCCAGGAAACTGAAACTCAGTTTTTGATACATCTCTTTTGATATCAAAACCCATCAGGAAATGAGTCAGATTAGGAGCGTTGTACGACAAACATTGCTTCGTCAACTTGAGTATCTCTTTCTTGGTGTTCTCAATAGTTTCATCGTCTTCTGTGGTTGAATCCAAGCAGTCAACGAATCCACTTCTAATTAGCTCCTTTGCATGGTCCACAGACATCAATATATTCATAAACTGGCTGTGTGCCACGGACGAACTATTGATGTGTGTAAGTATTTTAACAGCAACGTAGGCATGCTTTGGTAAATACAGTTGATACGTTACATATTTCGCTACATTAATGCAATAGTCAGGTTTTCCTGTATGCTGATTCATAGACATCAGAAGTTTGTTGAAGCTGGTTAGAATAACAGACGTAGATGATGAGGCGAGGAAACTGAAAAACCTCGACTGCAACACCAATACTCTATGAATAATATCTAAAGAAGTGAGAACACAATTCTTCAAGTACTCTTGCCCTTGGAATGATACGTACGAGTCAAAAAATCTATTACCCTCTTCAATTATATTCATTATGATATAAAACATTTCGGATTTACTGTTCAATTGCAGCATCAAGTGATAGCCAGGCGGGGAACTGAATTCATTTTGAATGGCAGGAAAATCAGATGGTTTAGGTTCATACTGATTCAAAAATTTGTTGAACAGCTTCAAACACAAGAGACCAGTTGTGGGCAGTACATCACCGGCTAGTCTAACAAACTTGAACAGAGCCACTGAACGGGGTGAAGTTCTGTACGAGGTACTCTGGGTAGAGCTACTTTCAACTGGGCTCCAATACTGAGACGCATAACCTGTATTCAGAACGTCGTTGGAGTATAACTTTCCTATGGTCAACAGAAAATACTCAAAATATCTTGGGAGGCTTGCTGGAACGTCTAATCCCTCCCTAATGTACACTTGCATAGTCCTACCGATTTCATCGGCTTTCATTCTCAGATCTTTCACTTTGGAATACATTGAGAATATGAAATCGGTTATTAAGTTGTGAAATCTCTTATATAAAAACTGTTCCTTGAATAATGTCTTATTTTCCAAAACGACATTATGCAGAAAGGCAAAAACATTCATTTCAATGGCTGAGTCTACAAAACTTTCTTCTTTATTTATGGCTTCTTGAAATTTGAAACTCTGTGGCACATCTCTTAGAGAGCTAATGCATACGGCCAATCCAAAGGTTGACAAGGCTTGCAGTCCTTCACATACCCACTTCGGTTTTGAAATCGAGAATTCATTCATAATAGTTGATATGTATGTTGAATCAGAAAAGACAGGGAGCAGCTGGATGGCTTCTTCTCCGTCCTCTCTTGTGTGTAAAATACTAATATCCAAAGCTGATAGCAAGGCAGCTTCAAGATATAAGTTGACGTCATCTATATTTCCAGAGGCTTCTCCTTCGATTTTAGCTTCCCTCAAATAATTGATGAGTGCCAGAGTGGGGATTTTTGGCAAACCTGACTGTGACGACCAGGAAAAAACAATTTCAGCTAGGATATTTCGTATATCCTTAAACAAGTCTATAACTTGCCTTCTGTGTTTCGGTCCACCAAGAGCGAGGTTTTGTTGTAATTTCCCAATTTCTTTACTGAGATCAAGAGACCTCAACAGTTCGAAAATTCTGTTGAAAAGTCCTCCTTCCATCAACTGGTCTGTATATTCCGAGATGAACTTTGACAGACTTGTATTTAGATCAACACTCCATTGTACTCCACTTCTTGCTTGAACCAAATATAGAAGACTTGTGACAAGAGCCTTTCGGCCGTCGTAGTAAAGCAGGACGGCTACTAAACCCCTGGGTAATGACGGATAATAGGGCATTTGCATTTGTGCAGTACATAGCAAGTCTAATGCAACGAACTCGTTGATTTCAAACATATCTGATAGAATGATAGTCTCTTGGTAAAGCTCGTTGGAAAGTATTTGATGCCCGATACCTCTTACATTTATTCCCTCTACCATTCCTTTTTTGAGCTCTTCCCTTGCAGCAGTACTTCGTGGCTGAAATTAGATTTGAACATTTTAGATACAAAGTTTAGAATCAGGCATTCATTTTGAAATATTCAAGATGTAAAAAATTATTTACTTAGTGAAATGTCAATATTTTGATATTTATGTATATAGTTTTGCTTAGGTAATGCCTACTACAGCAGGGAGGTGCACTAAAATTATTAGAAAGTTAACTGATGAAAACCTGCATACCATAAATTTAAATTTAATCAATAGTCAATTCCTTCTGAATAGTATACACTGTGTCCGTAAAGTATGGAACAAATTCATTTTCAGCTTGCACATTGAAAATCCTTTCGGTCTCGTGAAAGTTACGCGTCGCACCGTAAATAAAAATCGCTTCAATTTTTTCTTCCAATGGACCAGAATTGACCATTTTAGAGATTGTTGACGTATTACCTTTCTACTTGTAAAACCGAAAACTAAATGAGAATATTCTAACTGAACAATGATGTTCATTGTCGTACTGGCATTTTTTGTCAGGGTTTAGAAGTATTCGTCAGGAGCTCCAAAATGATGTGTCACAAGACCTCCTTTTCCATTTAATTTGTTTTTCCCAGATGGCGCCCAGTCGCCATCTTGAAAGTTTAATCTGTCAATTTCACTTCGAAATAAAGTATTCATGCATTAATTTTATTATCCCAAATTTCAATTTTTTGAGTTGACCCCTTCAAAAAATGAAAGGGGGAGGGGACATTAAAGAAATGCACTGTATGATAATAATAGTATAACACAGTACAAAAAGTGCTACCAATTCCATCATAATCACCACAAATGTAGGAACGATACCATTTGTTTGTGTTGCAACAAAACACATGCACTGAAATTCTGCAACAATACTAGTGCACCAGAAAAAGGTAATAACAGCCAGTATTCCAACAGTCACTTCAAAACAAAATATTCAACTGGTTATTGCGCTACAAGTAATAATTATCGAGTCTTGAATCGACTATAGCTAAAGAACATGAAATTCTAAATATTAAATACAATTCTCGACCTAATTACGTGAGTGATGATGGAGAAAACCTCAAAATTCCATATGTGAATGCTCGATCAATCAAAAATAAAATGGATCAGCTACAAGTGGTATTTTCTGATGTGAAAGCAAAGCACATTATTTTCACATATGACCTTTTGCACTAACAATATTGACATCGTTTGTTTTGCAAGAGACATTTTGAATTTACTTACCTGTGCCGTTTCGAGAAGTTGTTTGGTGAAACTATCATTGAAAAGGGAAATTAACCCATGTTTCAAACTGCTGATGACATCTGTCGAGACTTTCCACGTAGCTTCTGTAGAAGACGCAAGAGTTCCTGAAAATACCCTATGCATTACTCTACGGCTCCAAATCAATTGAGTACAGTTACAAATGTTTGCCGATGACACCACTTTAATTTACAATGGAAATAGTGTACAAGAAATCAAAATTAATTTCCCAAAATGGTTCTCATCAGAACTGAAACAGATAATTATAGAGAAAAAGCGAGTTAACAAAAATTACAAGATTTACAAACGAAATGAAGACTACTGCAAAAAAAAAAGAATATTTTAAACACCACTAGACTAATAGTACTCATAATTATATTGTCAGAATGTTTTTTGGGAAGGTACACAAGTTATTCCTGCTATTTATGGATTTTCATTTCCATGGAATAAAAAAACTTTTCAAAAATAATGGAAATGAAAAGGGAAAACCAGTAAATTTGACTAGAAATGTTGCTGCTTTGATTAAAAATTCATATAAAAATTTATCCAACTTTTCAGTAACACTTCTTATAAATTTTGCCTATATACTTTTGAAAACAATAATTGATGTGTTTTAAATGAATTTTGTTTGTTTTAATAGCATCATCTGCTAAGATCATTAGCCATAATTCTCTGTATCTGTAGAGTAGGGAGGGTGAGTGTAAGACCACGCACTTAGGCCACATGTGACCCATTGTACATCCTCCCGAGGAATTGTCCTCCTAGGCTCAATTAGTTTTATTA